TCTGCTCCCCCATGCTTCTCCCCTCCCTGCCTGTTAATAGCTTATGCAGAATGGTGCTTATGACTTCAAAGGGATTGCACTCTGTCACCTCAGAAACTTGTCATGTACTCTCTGCCTGAATCGCATTTCTCACTTCCTACTGAGAACAGTCACTACTCAGAATTCAGTTTCTTCTGAGGAGCAGCAACTGCCACCCCATCATTGATTCTTTCAGTAAACAGTTTTCAGATTGTTTTGCCATTTTTATAGCCTTGTCCAGTGAAGCATTTGGTCTTACCCTCTACTGGCAGCTCCATGCTTCTAACTGCCCACAGAGTGTGGATTCTGGCTCCAGGAAGATGAACAACAGTATTTCAGGGGGACTGAAGTCAAATTTTCTTTTACTTATTTTCCCATGCTTGTCACTATTTCTGTTTAAGCCTGAAAATTCTGAAGTTTTTGCTCGTAAAATCATCAACTGAATTAATCTTATTTAACTAGCACAGTTTTTGCCTCTATCCTTTCCTAGCAAGGAATAAAATACCTGTTTATTGACATCCTTGGTGATTACAAGACTCCATGCTGCCATGAAATGAAAGAAAAAGCAGAGAAGACAACTAGTTGATCGTTATATAATCATTTTCATTTTATTCTACTGTCGCCCTGTTTCCTCGGAAGCAACTGAAACTTCTTTAAACACGGTCCCTCTTTAGTCCCTCTGCCTGGGAAGCCACACATCAAGTGCTAGGGATCCTAAAGATAGCAATGCTCTGAGCTCTTTCAAACACTGGAAAGGACTGTCATCAGAGTAAAACAGATTCAGCCCAGTTCCCAGCCCAGCCATGCCCTAGTGGGGGCATTTGTACACACCCTGAATCTTGTAGGCTCTGAAGTGAGGATGCACTATTAACTGTATGGATTATTGTGGTTTTGGAAGATTTAGTCAAGAAACAAACTCTAAGTGAATAGTCAAGGGCCTGATCGGTGGCAAGCAGTGGCTGATGTCATGCCTCTTCTTCACTTTGTCTTTGTCGTAGGGGGTTTTGAAACAGGCAGGCTTCAGAGGATCCTTCAACCCCTGAAAGTTACATCTAAGTTGGTTGTATCCAGGAGGGATCTTAATTTTAAGCAAAGTATCTGTATATATTTCCTGGGGTTGTCTTAACTAAGTACCATATATCTAACCAACAGAAACGTGTGACCTTACAGTTCAGGTGGTTGAGCCTCTAGCAGTAAGGTGTTCGCAGGACTTGTTTCTTTTATGTGGCTCAGATGGGGAATCTTCTTGAGTATAATCTGGTAGGAAACTAAATGGGATTCTCCATGTGACTTGTCTGTACATGTCCCCCTCTTTATGGAACTTTCCCCTTTATATAAGAAAATCAATTCCACTGGATCAGGGTGAATCACCTAAAAACACTGTTTCTAAAGAATTCACATAGCTCTAGGATCAGAACTTCAACATATCGTCTGTGGGTAAATGATTCAAACCACAACATATCCATAGCTGTAGTTAGATTTTTTAAAATGACCTATAGTAACTATAAATTTTCTTAATGGCTTATCTTACCCACAACCTAGCCATCAAACCTTGACGCTTTCAGATAGTCCAGGGTATATCTTGAGTGTTCAAATTATGGAGAAATCTCACAGTAATTCTAGGGTGATATTTTGTCTATAACAAATAAAGCTTGCCTAAAGGTCAGAATGCAAAGCTAGCCACACTAGTTAGACATAGAAGCCAGACAGTGGTGTATACATCTGTAATCTCAGCACTTGGGAGACACATGCAGATGGATTTCTGTCATTTCAAGGCCACCCTGAGCTACAAGAAATTGATCAAGGTTAAAAGAGAGACAGAGCTCACACAAAGGTGATCCCAGCACTTAGGATTCCATGCTTTTAATCCCAGCACTAAGGAGATGGAGCCAGGAGTGATATGGCTGGGTGGAAAAAGAAATACAAGGCAGGAGATGACAAGAGAGAGATGAAATCTGAGAAAGTATGAGGTTTGGTAGAGACAGAGGAGTCTGGAGATATAATCTGAGGACAGGATCACTCCTTCAGTATGAGGTAGAGGTAAAAGCTAGAGGCTGGCTGATTTGCTTCTCTGATCTTCAGCTTTAACCCCAATATCTGCCTCTGGGTTTTTATTATTCATGCCACATAATTCTGACAGCTTTGTTCAGGTACATGCTACAGATTGATTTTTATCTTACCCAAAATGCTTAGGACAAAAGTTTTATGAATTTTAGATTTTTCCTGATTTTATGATATGTAAATAAACATTAAGTTTTAGGAATGTGACTCAAGTTCAAACATATTTTTTCATATACCTTTCATATATAGGTTAAAAATAATCTTTTACATTGTTAGTGCAGCTATATCTTGGGTCTGACCTGGGACATGAGAAAAGTATGAAATTTTCTGTTGGTATTGATACGTTAGTGCTCAAAAATTTCAGATTTGGGGGCATTTTATATTTAGGGTTTTTAGATTAGGAATGTTCAACCTGCATAAGAGAAGAAAGCACAGAAAGCCTTTCTCTACTCCATATTCTACACTCCATTGTCTTCCTTAGTGAGACATTTCCATGAGAAATGATTGCTGAGGTGGTCTCGGGAAGTGTAAAGAAGGTAAGTAAATGTGAGCCTGGAGAACAAGCCAATACTCAGCACTGCTCTTAGGTCTCTGCTTGAGTTCCTGCCCTGACTTGGATCATGATGGATGGTGATATGTAAATGTAAGCTAAATAACAGTCCCCTCCCCCACCCCTGGCTCTTTTGGCCATGGTGTTTATAGCAGCAGTAGAAAGGAAAGACAATTTGTTTCCCGCATATTGAACACAGTTTAAAAACAAACTTTAGTGGTTATTATGGATAACATCAAAGTCATTTAAAAATTAGTGACCTCAAATTATGGGAGCTTGATTTCTGGAACCAATAGGCTTTATTCTTAAAGCTTATCCCTTCTTCATTAAAGAACAACCTATACTGTGATATACATGGGTCCTTAGACATGGAAATGACTCTGAATTGCTAGCAAAAGAAGCTTATGGTTAGTGATTCAGGGAAGATACTTCAGTTTGACCTACTCTATGGCACCATACCTTAAAAGAGGGGTACGTGAATTGAAATTTTCTAAGGTACTACTTTCCTAAGGTCTCTGCTATCTATCCTTATGTATGCTATCAATATGCAGAACTCCTCTGGACTGAAAGTTTATGACAAATAGAATGCCCCTTTTTCATTTTCTTAAGATTTCTTCGCTGTTTGGGACATAGTCAGAGTTGTAATCAGACTTAAGTTCACATAAGGACTTTCTATAATCATGCTGTTGGCATTGAGTTAAGCAAAGCTACTCATGCAACTGATATCAGAAGAGTTGGGAACCATTGGAATTACTCTGCAGAGCGATTGTTCATTTGTCAGTGGTATAGGTTACAGTGTCAGGAATCTATTTGTGATAGGTATGTCCTAGCTAGTTTTATGTCAACCTGATGCAAGCTAGAATCACTTTGGGATAGAGAACCTCAATTGAGAAAATCCTTCACACTAAGGCTGGCTTATGGGCAATACTGTGGTTTATTTTCTTGATTGATGGGTAATGGCCCTCCTGGGCTGCTATAAGAAAGCAGATTTTGCAAGCCATGAGAAGTAAGCCAGTAAGTATTCTTCCATGGCCTTTTTATCAGCTCCTGCCTCCAGATAGATTCATGCCTTGAGTTCCTTTCCTGAACTCCATCAATGATGGATGCAGTGTGATGTGTAACTGGAAACTGAAGTAAACCCTTTCCTCTCAAAGTTGATTTTGGTCGTAGTGTTTTATCACAGCAACAGAAACACTAACTAAGGCATAGTAGGTGAGTGGGGAGAAGACAGTAGAAGCTGGCAAATGGACATTTTACCTGTAAGAAACATAATAAAACGCTACCCAGGTTGGGCTTGGGCTGGTTTTCTGATTGCTTCCACAATATTAAAGTGTAAAGCCACTGACATTTCCAACACTAACATAAATCAAAACAGACATGCACACAGGTGGGTGCCTGGTCTCTTACCACTCCATGCTCTATGACATCTCAGGACTCTGCCAAGAAGACCATCACCAATATCTGACTCTGGATTTTTATTATTTAGATCAATTAGAATTCCATTTACAGATGGCCACTGGCATATTTCTATGGACTGCTGACTAAAGAAACCCTCCCAACATATCACCCAGGCATCATTGCTCAAAGAAATGATGAACCAGCAGCCCAATGTGAAAGCTCTGTCTGTTATGCCATGGGGGCTCTGCTGTCTGTTTAGGTAATGGAGAAATACAGTATCCCAGCACCATAAGATCCAAGCTGAGTTCCTCATTAGATTTAAAACCACTTTGGACTTTTTACTAGTTTTTGTGAAGGGGTTTAATTGCTAGAATGGGTAAAATGAAAAAGGGAAACACATTCTCCTTCTGCGTGCATGAATAAGATAGATTTTTCTTCCTGTTTTGATTGTGAACATGGCCTGGGGTGTTCCCAGAGTCTCAGTGCTGAGCAGAGAACTGTGGTTTGGACTGGACAAAGGCTATTCTGTGGGTGATAAGTGGGCAAACACTGCCACAAATTCTTTGTAGACTGCAATGCACTTTGCCATTTTTCTTGGTCCTTGGATGGTCTTAACTCTCCTTTGTGATCCCAGGAATCAGCTCAACTGCTGTAGAGGGCAAAAGCTTGATAGTGGTTCATAAATATGAATGCATTACAGATAACAAAAACAGGGTAGTTCCTAGAAAACCGACTAGAGAAAAGTTAGTAGGTGTAAATACTCCTCCCAAACCCGAGAATGTCAAGAACCCAGACCTAGTGATAGCTGAATACAAGTGGTAGCTGTAAGAACTACACTCTGATGTTAGCTTGGGTCCTGATTAGTGGTGAGAACCGAGAGAGAAAAACAGATCAAGACTGGCTTTGAAGCTTCCCTCTGACCCAGGCAGCTGAAACTGAACTTTACAGAAGATGAGACTTAGCAGACTCTGAAGACAGGATAACCAACTTGATTTTTATTATGGGAAGTATTTTATTTATTTATTACAGCAGAGTTTTAACTTCCTTATAATTGAGTTCATTCATATTCATTACAGAGACAAACACATGAAAAAAATAATTTGTGACATGTCATCAAATTTGCTTATGGTATAAATTACAATATAGATTGTTTTCAGCATAAAGCAAGCATCACACATTTCTCTTGATAACTAAAGATGATACATGGCCAAATCAAACACAGACACAGAGATAGAAGAATCTATAATAGTAAGCTGTGTTACTGGAAGTGTCCCTAGCAATCAGAAAACCCAACCCTGATTAGAAGTTGAGGAAACTGAACACAAACAGAGTTGGTGAGCTCCACACTACAAATGTTGAGGGCACTGAATACGTGCCAGGCACTTGCTTGATACTGGAGATATTAAAGTAAACAGAACCTGATACCCGTACTCAAAGGGCTCTTAGCCAGGATAGCAGAGGGCAGTTTCCAGTAATCAGGAAATCCTCACACAGCATAATAAGTATTGTGAGCAAGGCATGCCAAGCAGCAAGGTGCAATCAATGCAGGTGTGAGGGCAGTTTACAGAGGTCACATGTGAGCCGACCTGAGAAGGATGAGCAGAAGTCACAATGACACAGTTATGGTGAGATGGAGTTCCAGGAAAGTCAAGGCCAGAGCTAGCCTAGTGCATTTAATACTTACAGGAGTTAGGAGTGAAAGAGAATTCTAGTCCTGACTGAGGGGGCCTCCCAGTTCAGTGCTGTTTTAGAAGTCTGACTGCTTGCTAGAATATATAAAGGGTCATCTCACTAATCAGTACTCTAGCACAGAAAGCAGCACACACATGGCTCTTACTTCATTCATGTGTGAATAATAAGATTGTCTAAGCCTCCTGCTTAAAACTTGCTTTTCCCTTCAGAGGAATCATTGCTCCCTATTATAAATTTCCACTTTCTTGCAGAATATCTACATTCATCGGGTCATGCCACAAATTTCAAGTCTGGAAGGAATCTTAAAGAGTCATTTTGCAGTAGCCAAAGGTAGGGGTGTGGTCAGTGGACATTGTTGCCACTCTGGTGCAGACAAACTAAATCATTCTACATTTTATTAGCTCCTTCAGTTTGTAATTACAATAGTAAAATGTTCATCCCTGCAGAGGCAAACTTCATGTACTCACCCTCACCCCTTCCTACTCTACTGCACAGACTACACACCCGCACACAGAAAGGACAGCCCCAAACAGGCATTGGAAGTGTGCAAAGTGTCCCTACCGCCAGTTGAGGCTGCCCCAAGTTCTCTACTGAAAATGGAACTGAGCAGCCAGAGTCAGATGTTTAAGAAATCCCACATGAGGGTTTATCTCCTAAGATTATCTTTATTTCCATTGAAGAGCTGCATCCCAACCAAACCAGTCTCTAATCCATTTCCAGATGGGGTCACTAAGAGCCAAGGGTCATTTGTGTGAGATGGGGTCACTAAGAGCCAAGGGTCATTTGTGTGGCGTCAAGTTCACCAGGAGCAGTCCTCACTCATCTTTTCTGGCTGTGCTGTCTGGCATGTACTTGGCGGGGTGAATACAGAAGGGTCCTTAATGCCTAGCTGCACATCAAAAAAACGTGTGGACAGGACCACAGTGTAATTCCTGATGAAGGTCTCCTGGACTGGATAACAATCCTTGGCTGTGTAAACGCCGATCCAGGTTTCATCTAAAGAGGAAATAAGTTGACTTTTCAGAGAGAAGATAGGCAAAATTCCTATACTTTTTTTGTAGTAAAATATAGTCAACAGAAAATGCACCTTTTAACTTTGTAAGGATACCTTGTGGAGGCATTCACACTGTTTATAATTATCACCACTTACTGTGCTACACTCCTAAACTGAAAACTCTTACTCGTTCAATAGTTTCCCATCTTCCTCTCCTTCAGTCCCTTGCAACCAGCATGCTAGTGACTGTCTGATAGATTTGGATACTTCATGCACACAGTATTTATCAGTTTGTGACTGGCTTATTTCCCTTAACATACCAGCCTCAAGATTTGTTCATGTCGCTACATATGCCAGAATTCATATCTCTTCCTTTAAAAGGATGAAAACTATTCTCCTGTAGAGGTACATCACATAGTTATTCATTTATCTGTTGATGGTATCTGGATTATTTCCAACAGTTTGATGCTAAGAATGAAACCACTATAAAAAAAGGTGTACAACTAAATGGTTGAGTTCCTGTAATTATTCTTTTGATTATATGTTCAGAGTTGGATGCTCTGAAGCATATGGCAATCTTATGCTTAATGTTTTGGTTAAATCCCATACTGTTTCTCATAGACTGAATGTCTATACTTCATGTTTCAAAATTAACAGGAATAATTTTGGATCAAAGTATGCCTGTTTGCATTTAGAATAATGTAACAGGTCTGGACACGGTGGCTTTAGGAAGTGGTGTTAGGGAAGGAAATGTTGGCACCTAATACAATGAGTATTCTTGGAAAGAATTACTTTCAGGTCACAGTCCTCATGGAGATCATGAAAAGTCTACAGATAGGGTGAGTCAATAAGATCCAAAGTGACAGAGACATGCAATTGTCACTAGAAGATGAACATGTTCCAATAACCCACTAAGAAAGCAGTTATACACAGTTAAAAAATACACAAGGGAACTTACATAGGCTTTAAAACCTATGTACCCTTAAGACTAACTTCCTTAAGGGACTTAGAAGACAACATTCCCCAACATATACCCTGAGATGGAATGCATGAATTCTTTCCATCCTTACAGGATCTGGCTGTCCTTCTGTCGGACCACTCCTGGACTGTGATCTGCTCCTGAGGTCCCCCAATGGAGTACTGATCTTCAAAGGTAGAATTCTGGGGTATATCCAGAGGATCCCAGGGTTCTGTCAAGGATAGCTTTGCACACTGTTTGGTGGCTTGTTCAATCTGAAACATCACTCCATCCTTATAGAGTAAAATGTATTCAAATAATCTGAAATGTTGATTAAAAGAAAATGGTTAAGGGCTTTTATGTTAAAATCATCATGTCTTTCATCAGCACAGAGTCTGAAGGCCTTTGATATAAGTTATCATATAAATGACTTTTAAATGATTGCAAATCATTTGTTCTTTATAAACTTTATTCATATCAAACAACCCAACTGTGGAAAAAATAAAAATTAGAAGTTAAACTTGACTTCATGAAGTAACTTCTTATAAGTGAACAACTACAAGCTAGACCCCAAGATTAGGCTACCAACATTAGGACATCTGAGTTTCACAGCTGGCTTATGATGATTTGTTTAGAAGGACAAAGGAAGGATTCCCTTTGATTGGGATCCTGTAGCATTAAATCAAGGAATGACAGAAATATCCCCAGAGACTGAACTCACTACAGAAATGTGGGCAAAGTGTCTATACCTCACTGTGTGGCTAACCTACACAAATGATTTTCTCTGTTGACAGAAGCCACTCTGAGTGTAGCCTGAGGAGTCTGGGCGGCAAGGGCAAAGACTAAGGTTCTCCAGAGTAAATGATTCATAAAGCAAGTTTGCCTACACGTTATCTCAAGTGACTTCATGCATGAAGGAACACGGTGAAAGGAAGGTATCCTGAGTCTAACGTCTATATCTGAGCCAGAAGTCTCTAAGTATGCTGTATTGCACCTCTTAAATCACTTCATAAAGCCTCTGGGCCATGATCCGTTCAAAACTCAGGGCATTGGTGCTGCTTGGGCAGAATGGAAAGTGAAGCCACCTAGAGAATACTTTTCAAAAGTGAAAATGAGACTTCCAGCCATGGGTTGGGAGTAGAACTAAAGTGACAGCACACCCATATGGCATCAGTTCAATCCCAGCAACACAAGGAAAATGGGAGACCAACTTATGATCTCTGCTGAATGAACATCACTCAGGCTCTATAAAACATGCTCATGTAGGATGCATGCTCTCTATTCAAAGTCTGCATATGAAATTATTTTTGAAGAGGTGGGTGTGGGTCTGTTCCAGACCCGACCTCTGCTTGCTCTCCTTGGTGTCACCTGATCTGGGGACCGTGCACAGGTGTACCCACCCTGGTGGACCACATCATCCAGAATCTGCTGACATCACAGTGCTAGTCCCACCTCCATCCACCGAGAGAGGGAGTGTCTCAGACCCGCCTGCATTCACCATGAGAGCCATCAGAGTATTGGACCTGCTTACACCTACTAGAAGAGAACCTTGGACCGGTAACCACCAGGAGAGGGAGAGATCCCCACTTGCACCCACTGAAAGAAGAGATGGGAAGACAACAATATAAGAACACATTCAACAACAGAAAGACCAATATGATGCCACTAGAGTTGAAGGACTCTACACCAACAAGACCTGAACATCTCAACACAGATGAAGCAGAAGAGAATGACCTTAAAAACAACTGTATGAAGATGATAGAGACCCTCAAATAGGAAATGTGAAAATTCCTCAAAGAAATGGAAGAAGAAACAAGCAAAAAATGCAAGAAATGGAGGAAAAGACAAACCAAAAAAATGTAAGAAATAAACAAATCTCTCTCTCTCTCTCTCTCTCTCTCTCTCTCTCTCTCTCTCTCTCTCTCTCTCTCTCTCTCTCTCTCTCTTTTTGGTTTTTCGAGACAGGGTTTCTCTGTATTGTTTTGGAGGCTGTCCTGGAACTCATTTGGTAGACCAGACCGGCCTCGAACTCACAGAGATCCGCCTGCCTCTGCCTCCCGAGTGCTGGGATAAAAGGTATGCGCCACCAACGCCCGGCTATAAACAAATCTCTTAAGGAAAGCCAAGAGGAAACAAGCAAACAAGTGAAGGAAACAATTCAAACCATTCAAGTCATGAAAGCTGAAATAGAGACAATAAAAAAACAGTCTGAGGGAATACTGGAAATAGAAAAGCAGAGTAAATGATCAGGAAGTACATTTGCAAGCATAACCAACAAAATACAAGGGATGGAAGACAGAATATCAGGCACTGAAGGTACACTAGGAGAAATAGACCATCGGACAATGGAAATCTTAAGTCCAACAAATCCCTAACACAAAATATCCTGGAAATATGGGACACCATGAGAAGTCCAAGCCTAAGAATAACAGGTATAGAAGGTGAAGAAAACCAATTCAAAGGTGCAGAAAATATATTCAGCAAAATCACAGAAGAAAACTTTCCCAACCTAAAGAAAGACATTCCAATGAATGTACAAGAAGCTTACAGAGTATCAAACAGACTGGACCACAAAAAAAGTCCCCTCGCCACATAATAATCAAGACACCAAACATATAGAATAAAGAAAGAATATTAAGAGCAGCAAAGGAAAAAGCCAAGTAACATATAAAGGCAGACTTAGAATTACACCCAAATTCTCAATGAAAACTCTGAAAGCCAGAAGGTCCTGGACAGATATTCTACAAATGCTAAGAAACCATGGATGCCAGCACAGACTACTATGCCGAGGAAAGCTTTCAATCACTATAGATGGAGAAAACAAGATATTCCATGACAAGACCAGATTTAAATAGATATCTATTAATCCAGTCCTATAGAAATTACTGTAAGGAAAACTCCAACCTTAAGGAAGTTAACTATACTCACAAAAACATAGGAAATAGATAACCCTACTTTACCAAAAGTCTAAAGAAAAAAGAAACAAGGGGTGGAAATCCATACACAATACCACCACCACCACCACCACCAAATCCAAAACAAACAAGAATTAAAAGTCGGACATTCAGAACGGAATCTGAGGCTCTCACATTGGATTTGACACTGTCTGCACCGCATGTATGTTACATGTACTTACACACTATGAAAACTAAAATCCATGACGGTGTTGGAACGTGAAAATCAGTTGTCTTACGTCCTCTTTCACAATCCATGTTCATCACCTAAATCCTTCTCAGCCCTAATATTCAAACTTCATTCTCACTTTTATGCTGTACCCACATACACTAATACATATGTACATGTGTTAGTGTCTAGATTGCACATGAGGAAGAACATGCAGTGTATTTATATGACTGGGTGACCTCAACTGGTAGACATTTGATGTCCATTTGTCTGTAAATTTTGTGATTATACCTTTTTGGAACTAAATGGCTTCCCCTCTATGTATTTGTGTATAATAAACATACATTCAAATTAAAAAAAATAATTAAAAGTCAGTGGTCATTAATACATCTCAATATCAATGGTCTTAACTCACCTATAAAGATACAAACTAGCAGAATGGATAAGAAGATAGAATCCATCCTTCTGCTGCATACAAGAAAAACACTTCAACTTCAAAGACAGACATTACCTCAGAGTAAAGGGTTGGGAAAAGATTTTCCAATCAAAAGAAACAAGCTGGTGTAGCAATACTAATGTCTAACAAATTAGGCTTCAAACTAAAATCAATCAAAAGAGATGGAAAAGGTCATTTCATATTAATCACAGGAAAAATCAGTCAGGATGAAATCTCAATTCTGAACATATATGCACCAAATACAAAGGCACCCATGTTCATAAAAGAAACAGTACTGAAATTCCAATCACAAATAAAAACTCATACACTTATAGTGGGAGATTTCAACACCCCACTCTCACCACTAGACAGGACACCAGACAGAAACTTAACAAAGAAACAAAGGAATTAACAGAAGTTATGACCCAATTGGGTTTAATAGACATCTATAGAACATTCCATCCAAACACAAAAGAATATACCTTCTTCTCAGCACCACATGGAACCTTCTCTAAAATCTACTGCATACTTGGCAACATAGCAAACCTCAATAGGTACAAAAAAATTGGAATAACCCCCCATATCTTCTCAGACCACCATGCTTTAAAGTTAAAATTCAACAACAACACGAATTGCAGAAATCTAGAAACTCATGGAATTTGAACAATATGCAATTGCACCAATTCTGGGCCAAGGAAGAAATAAAAATGGAAATTAAAGGCTTCCTAGAATTTAATGAGAATGAAGAAACAACATACTCAAACTTATGGAACACTTTGAAAGCAGTGCTAAGAGGAAGTTCATAGCACTAAGTGCCCACATGAAGACACTGGAGAATAGTCACACTAGAGAATTAACATCACACCTGAAGGTTCTAGAACAAAAAGAAATAAGGTAACCTCAGAGGAGTAGATACTAGGAAAAAAATCAAATTGAGGGCTGAAATTAATAAAGTAGAAACTAGGAAAACAATAAAAATAATTAATGGAATGAAGAGTTGGTTCATCGAGAAAATCAACAACATAGACAAACCTTTATCCAAACTAACCAAAGACAGAGAGAGACCATGAAGATTAACAAAATCAGAAATGAAAAGGGAGACATAACAATGGACATTGATGAAATCCAGAGAATCACCAGGTTATACTTTGAAATCCTATACTTCACAAAATTTGAAAATCTAAAGGAAATAGGCAATTTTCGGGATAGATATCACTTACCAAAATTAAGTCAAGAACAGACAAGCAATTTAAATAGACAAATAACCCATAATGAAATAGAAGCAGTCATCAAAAGTCTCCCAATCAAAATAAGCCCAGGGCCAGATGGTTTCAGTACAGAATTCCACCAGAAATTCAAAGAGATAATACCAATACTCATCAAAGTGTTCCACGTAATACAAGAAGAAGGATCATTGACAAATTCTTTTCATGAGGCTACAATTACATTGGTAGCAAAACCACACAAAGACACAACTAAGAAAGAGAACTCCTCATGAACATTGATGCAAAAATACTCAATAAAACACTGGCAAATCAAATCCAAGAACACACCACCATAATTGAGTAGGCTTCATCCCAGGGATGCAGGAATGGATCAATCTATGAAAATCCATCAATGTAATCTACCATGTAAACAAACTGAAAAAAAAATCATGAGATCATTTCACTAGATGCTGAAAAAGCCTTTGACAAAACCCAACACCACTGATCCAAATGGATCAAGGACCTCAACATAAACACAGCTACACTGAACATCTTAG